GCGCGTTCCCGGCCCCTCCTGTGGGTGCGTATCCCTCGGGGCGTGGCTGCGTGAGGGGCTTGAGCCGTTTGTCTGGCTGTTCACTGCGCCGAGAGACCCATATATGCTTACCCTGGGGCGGCCTTCTCCTGCCTAGTGCTGTTCCTGGTCCGAAGCTGTAGGGGAAGAGGTAACGTTGGCCTGGAAGTCGGGGGAGGGCAGGGTGCCCCTCTGAGGGACAGTATTTGCCCCAGTTTTCCTGTGCTGATAAGGTTCTGCACCAAAGCTTCCACCCAGAGTTGGTGCTGTCACAGTACAGAGGCAGTTTTACTGGCAGAGGCTCTCAGGAGGGTGTTGGTGAGCTGCTGTGGCAGGGGTTGCTGGTGTTTGCTGACAAGGCAGGAGGAAAGCCCTGGTTCATCACCAGAATATAGCTCTCTTGCCTCCACCAGCCGGAGGAGAGCATACAGCCTGCCCTGTCATCTTTGATCAGGTACAGAATGGAGATCTTGGATGAGTTTGATAATGATACCCCCTCAGTGTATCATTTTGCAAGCTGATTTCCTTAGAGGACTTTGAGGAGCAGTCTTTGTCCTACACTCGGCAATGCCTGCAGGAGCGGTACTCAAACATGGAGCAGAACCCAAGGGTCTGCAAGAGGTCTCTGAGAAAGCAGAAACAGATGGAGAAGGAAGAAGTTGGCTTGATATCTTATTTGAAGGTATTTGCAATGCCTTCCTAGTGAGGGTCACTGGATCTTTGAGGGTATTAGGATGGTAATGAAATAGGATGGTTCATTAGAGGGTGTGTGTGTGTGTCTCAGCCAAATGCTCCATCTTAAGGCAGATTGTGTCGTAGTTTTGTACCAATGTTTGTTGATTATTTTTCCTTGGGTGTTTGTGTACCTGAATTTTCTGGAAACATTGAGCTCTTGGGGTCCTCTGCAGAAATCCTGAGGATGCTGGATGCACACCCGTCATATGGCTAAGATGAATCATTCCTAGGGCTGGAAGTGCAAAATGAGGTATCCTGTCCTCACACACTAGCTTTGATTCTGAAATTATTGTTTGTAGAGCAGTAAAGGTCCTAAGTAAATGTAAACATTACTGAAATCCCTTTGTAGTGGTAAGTGATAAATCCCAATGTAGAGAAAAAAGTAAAATGCCATCACTATCTAGAAGAAACACTGTAGGTTTGAGCTGTATCATCACAAGCAGGGGAGAGAGCTCGGGTGCAGTTGGAAGCATTTCAGAAAATGTTGGTATAAATTTTCCCTGTGGTAGGAACTTTCTAGATTTGAGGAGAGTAGTATATGTGCTCCTGGCATCCAGGATTTAGGGCATGCTAGCATTCCCTAGATAAAATCAATGGATAGATGAAGGCACCAATTTGTTCTATATCTGTCTTACCCCACACAGATTTTTACAAATCTGCACTTATATTTGGTCCCTTGATCCTGCTTCTCATTTACATACCGCTTTGGTGGTGCGAAAGACCTAACAGTAAATTTAAACAGCCCCCTGAGCCAGCCCATACATGGGGAATCTTCCCACACAACGTACAGTGGCAGGCCCTAGGCAATGGCAGCGGCAGGGGGGGTTGAAGGGGTTGTGCTGTTGCAAAGCTGCTCTTCAAGGCTTTGAGGAACGTTGTGGGAAGAGTCTAAGAGCAGGCTAGTGATTTCTTGAACTGACTTACTGCCAGCTTATGGGGACTACAACGAGTATGTGAAGATCTTCTGCCATGCTGGTCTGTATTTCTGTTCCAAGGCCAAAAACAGGGTACCTCAAATACAAGGAATCCCTGTGCTCAGTGAGCGCGGGAGCTCTGAAGTCCAACACAACGCTGCAGCCATTGCAGCGGGCATGTGAGTTGCTGGAGGGATAGTGGCTTTGTGGGCTTATGTTGCAGAAGTGAAGTATCAGTGTCTTATCTTCCTTTTCTCTACTGTCGAGGCCAAGATTTTTCAGGCTCTGCAGGGGGAGCTGAATTACTCTAACTATGTGGGCATTGCAGAGATGAAAGAGAAAGTACTCCAGCTGAGACAAGGCATGCAGAGAGCAAACAACTATGCTCATGGTAACGATCGTGTTTCACCCTCCATTTGGGCCTGGAAACCAATACTAGACAGTTGTACTGTTGCTCTTCCTCTCAGGCTCAGCTTTTCTTCTTCTCTGCCACTGCCTAGTTAGTGATGCAGAAGAGAAAAGGCGCAGAATATGGTAAATTGGTATCTCCTTAGTGGAAAGGGAGAGTACAGGGAGCTGCACACAGAATTGCAGATATTATCTGTACCTGGAACAGTGATTTTAAACCCCAGCTGGCTTGGCTCTGCTTTTCACCTTCCTAAAGCAGTTTTGTTCCTGATCATTCAGCAAAGATCTCGGGGAGAATAGTGATACTGTTTATCTACCATCTGTTTCATGCTTTTTCTCAGTAGACCTCAGAATACCTTACAAAGAGGCATGGGCCACAGTATTATGTCTATTACATTATGGAAAACAGATGCAGAGAGGCAAAGTGGCTTTCTGAGCGTCACACTGTGACTTCTGGATTGATCAAAGGACTGAGAATTCACTCTGGTCTCATCCTTCCAAGCCTAGTGCCCAGTCCCCTGGGCAACACTATCAAAGTTTTCCTCTTTGCTTTGAATCCACTGTGTGCCTGTTCGCTATCCTGTTGCCTCCGGGGCTGGCCCCAGAAAATAACAGACATATAGAATATGCATCTTTTGGAGCAGAAGCATCTGTTAGAATAGACAGGGGAACATTTCTGAGTAATTAATATCCAGCATTTTGAAAGCACCTTTTACTGCCAAAGTGTTCCACAAACAACATATAGAAAACAACGAAAACAACACATCCAGCGAAGGGTATTGCAAACCTGTCCCATTTAATCAAAAATATTACTTTGACTTTCTTTTCAGAGTGAGAACTTGCTGCTGTTGAAGTCAGTTAGATTAGGAGATTAGATTAGGAGAGGATCTGAGGTCCCTATTTGATATTTGCTGCTCTGGCTCTAAGCTAACGCCTGATTTTTTTTGTTTCTTGGCCATATAGTGGGTATGTATGGCCTGCACAGAAGTTAGGCAATTATTCCTATTCCCCACTGACAGTTCCTGCAGTTTGGTGTCACTGGGGGCCAGGCCCTTATGGAGCAGTAAATAGATCCTGTGTGGTTCATATGCTGGCTGTTGCAGATCTGCTTTTCCCTGCTCTCTCCTCTCTGCTGATTGTTGAAGGTCTCTCCCCACTCCCTCGGCTGGCCCAGCTCCTGTGCTGTGCGTCCTTGGCCTGCAGCTCCTTGGACACCACCTCCGTGCCCCAGTGTGAGGAACCACACTACTTACACTGTGTGCACAACACCAAAAGTCTCCGGTAGTCCTCGAAGCTGTAGTTTGGGAATTGCCAAGCCTGCTAGACACGGGGAAGTCTGTGATATGCCGAAATCCTGCAAAGCCAGTCACTCTGCTCTGCTGGTATCAGCTGAAATAACCAGCTATCGAAGAGAGCGCTCCACAGACTCTGCCGTGCACTGGGTCTGCGTGGCTGGGCCTACTGGTGGGATGCTAAGGTTCTTGCTGTTGGTATAGGAATGGGGACCCATACATGTGTCTTCAGGTCACCCTCTCTTATCCTGTTTTATCGTGGAGAGTGGTCCTTGGAAAGACAGAGACAGTATGGAGATCTGAACAAGGCTCAATACTTTTTCATGGTAATTTTGAGAGGCTGTTTATTGAGGATTGGAAGACAAAAACTTTATCCAGCTTGTCTCTGACATTTTCAGTGACTTTGTGGACTGTGGTTAGTCTGCTCATATCTACTACAACATGCCTGGCAGAACTTGCTCCCAGAGCCAGACACTTTTGCTGCCTGGAGAGAAAAGAGCAGGTTCAATACCACTGTATACAAATATGGTGTTTCTGCTGGGGCTGTTTGTACAGCAGTTATTTGCAGTACAGAGGACAGCATGCAATTTATCCTAGCTTAATAGATGGGAGAAGTGTTTTTAAGATAATGTGAAGAGAACCGAATGTAGGTGGAGAGTGTTCCAAGTGAGGGAGCAGAGGCGGTGGCTTGCGATAGTGTGTACAAGGATGGGTCTTGAACCTGACTTCTAGACGTGAAGGCTTGCTGAGCAAATGCTTAGATGCTCAGCTGTCTGTGCCCCATCGAGCTGAACTGCACGCTTCTGTTTAGAAAGAACCTAAATGTTCGGTTCATTTAATTGCTCGGTCGCGCTTCTTTACCTCCTTGAACTGCTGTGTCTCTTGGCAGGGAGGATGAGGTGAACTTGTAGGCTATTTGTTCCCTGTGCTTTAGCCTCTGATTAACATCTGCTTCCCTTGCACCATGTCTGCATGGGAAAGGTGGGTAAAAGACTGTTAAAAGGGACTTCTGCTCCCTTCCCGATACAGCAAGCAGCAGTGTTGCTGCAGCAACCAGTAGGGCAACTGCTGCTGACTCCAGTTCTTCTGCAACCCAATAGTATGTGCCATAAAAGGAGGGGATGGCCCTCATTCTCCATTACAGGTAGCTATACCTCCTTCCCTATAAACTGGTGGAGATGATTCATCTGCTAAACGCTGCATGCAAGCACTGTCTTGTATGTCTAACTGCGAAGTAGTGGTATTGTGGGTTTGGTAACAGCTTAAGAGTATTTAGTAG